ATATTGTTGTGCTCTCGTCTGTAACGTTAGTTTATCAGTGTCCGTGGAGGCATGAAGAGAAGCACACAACAAAGATAATCCGTTGCAGGAACTTTACTTAGTAAAGCATAACTTTACAACAGCGGGGTTTATGCTCTTGCCCAGTGCTGATGGGTTTGACTACAACCATCTGCACCGGAGCCTGCGAGCATACTGACGCTAAACATAAACCAGTGAACTAGTCCCCGTGTAATGACGTAACAGCATCTAATTGGACAATACAGAACTCATTATTATAATATATATATATATATATATATATATAAAAACTGTAACTCAGCTTATATTTAATTAACTAAGACTAACAAAATGCTAACATCATTATTGTATTATAACGTCTTTCAGAACAGAAATATGGAAAAATTGAAGGTGTACGAAACTCTCAGACAACAACTGGATAATGGTATGTAATGGGCTATCTGTTGTATTAATTAAATTATATTAGATACAGTGTATCACCACATATACATGGTTAGGAAACTTCGGCAGGTTTTATTCACTTTTGCTTTGCCTGATTTATAGATGAGATTACTCAAAAGGGCTTTGATGCCAGAGTAAAGGGTGTATTGCTTGAACGTGGTGCAGAAGGAACATCAGGTATTCCGTTTTTTATCTTTACAGATTAGCAAGACTTATATTCATTTAATTAATTATCTTCTATATACTTTGTTTTTCTCTTTAACATTCCAGAGACCAGCAAAACATGGAAAATTTAACATGATTTAACAACACTTGGACCAACTTGTTATTTCTCTTGTTCCAAGATAAAAATGGCTCCCATGGAGTGGAAAACAAGAACTGCTAAAAAACCAGGAAGATATCAAAAAATCATCCTTGAAGAGGCCCCACCACGGATAATTGTCACAGGCACTGAGGGGTATGATGAGCTCCTAAAACTTGGCCAGGAGACATTTTGGTCAGACGAGAGAGAGGGGAGTGTGTTTACTCTCTGCCAAGCAGATGGGACGAGGTGGACGAAGGAACAGTTCCATCAGGAATTTGGATCCGTGGCAGAGATCCCAAACGTCTGGAAGCGAACATTTTACATTGAACGTAGAGAAATGGGTATTGTAATGTTGAAATTACATGGCATGTGTGTGTTATAAACTTGCTCTTGTGCTAATACAGTACCAATTGCATGTTGTATCTACAGATGTCATTTGCCTTGATGAAAGCTCAATATCAGGTATGTACCATAAGTTTTGATGACACATTTTAAGTGCCATGTATGTTTTGTAATACATAACAGTTGCTCATTAATTATATTGTTTAGTATGCGTTCCATTTATTTATGTATCACTCCCTTCTTTTCTCAGGAATTGGTGAAAGTGAAGTGGACTCATCTATGGTAACTTCAGTTTACTAATTTATATTTTTAAATAAAGTCTTACTAAAATATTACTGTTGAATATTTGGATGTTTAGATAACACTGATGATCTTGATGGTTGTTTGTAGGATTTCCAACCAAAGAGATCCAGAATTTTAGGAAGATGTACAGACCAAAGTGTAGTGAGGGGCTTAGGTTCAGGCCAGCATGCTGGGAGATCAGAAAGCGCTGATCAAGTTCCAGGTTCAGAAAGATCACTTTACATATATACATTCATACATTCATTCATTCATTCATCCATTCATTCATTCAGACAGACAGACAGACAGACAGACAGACAGACAGACAGGCAGACCGACATTATATGCTGATCCAAATTCAGACTCACCAGTTGCAGTGAGATCCACTAGTGCTGATAAATCCTTAAAGGGTTAGTTCACCCCAAATTAATATTTGATATGAATTACAGATTACAGTAACCATGGATGTCCAGCTCCAAAAAAGAGCACTCTCAAAAGCCATGTGATAGGTTTTAATGTGGAAGAGAAACTAGATCAAGGAGAATCTTGGTCAATTGTTATTTTCAATTTTGAATATTCATAAAGGTCCTTATTTCATTACAACACAAAGATAATCAACAACATGCTTTTTGACTATGAACAAAGCTTCAATAAATGTCAAGATTTTAAGAATAATGAAAATTAGTGCATTTATCACAAAAAAAAAAAACTATTATATTACTTTACATTGTCATTCCTTGGTGTTTAGTTACAATGTTTAATCTTAAGGTTTGTAAACCTCCAAATTTGTAAACGGTTACAGTAGTGTTAAATTGTCATGCATTTCAGTTATATGCATAAATCATGCATTTCATTAGGTTAGTTTTGCCACTGTCAAGACAGTTTACATAATTTTAAGTAATGTACACAGCAACATAAAACTTTGAAAAGGATTGCGGTCTGTGAGATAAAAAATGAGCTCATGATTTACTTAACTTAATCTGTTCACTGTTGTATTGTAACTGTTACTCCTGGTCAAAAACTTCCATAATTTTATAGTTTATATGTGGGATCACTTATTTACCACTAAGTGTAATGGTGAAAAACATGAATATTTATCAATGCATAAAATTTAGTATTGCATAAAAACTAGTGCCTGTAACTGATCCCAGAATACTTTAAATATACTTCATAAATTGTGTGTATGTCTACTTTTTGTCCTTCTGGAGCTTGACATCTGTGGTCATAATGAACTGCCCTTGAGTAGAAAATGTTTTAAACATTGTTACTTTTTCCCTTTTGTGTTTTAAGTGGAAATAATAATACCATATGCAACAGCAAGAGGGTGATTAAATCATGGCAGAATGTTAATTTTAAGGTAATCTAATTGATTTTTCAGACCAAAGTGTAAGTGGGTACACTCCTCCAGAACTTGTTGCAGAGAAACCCATCCAGGAAGGCATAGGATCTGCAGAAAAAGATGGATGTCCACAAAATCAAGTGTTTTATGTTTCGTCCAATGTTGTCACCATATTACCATCATGTAAGTATAATATTGCCAACCAAGACACATAAGTTTACAATATTTTTTGTTAATTAGGATTAAAGTGGATATATTCTTTAAATGCATGAAATAATAGCATTTTTTTTCCAATCTCAACTTTATTAAATATAGTATATGTTCCGCACCTACCATATGTGGACGAGTCGCAAATCCATTACAAAGAAGAGAACCTGCTGGGTGAAGGTGCCTTTGGAAGAGTGTATAGAGGCTACTTTCAGGGCACCCCTGCTGCAATAAAAAAGATTCTGTATGGCACCGCAGGACTTCCAGACCAAGATATCCAGCACGAGATTCTGGTCTTACTGTAAGATTAATTCTATCTTATAATTAAACATACATTTTAATTTTATCTTATATTAACAGTTGGGGAGAATTGAACAGTTGGGAATAACAACAGTGCATTTCTACTGTGTGCTAGTTATATTGTTGTCATTTAAGTTTTACTTGATAATTTGCTAAATGCCTGTAACATTTCATTGTATTTTATAGCCGACTGAGCCATCCCAATATTGTTCGACTCATGGACAACGCCTTCTTGCTGGCCAATGAGTATATACATGGCACAACCCTGGAGGATGCACTACACAATGACAATTCTTGTTAAGGTAAAAAAAAAAATAATAATATTTTTCATGTAACGTTTTTGAAAAATTGTCTTAATATTTAATAGCTAATACTTAAATGCCAAATCAAAATATAAGAGGGAGATCCACACTCTGTTACCTTATTCTCTTTTATTAAAGGGGTCCTATTATGCTCTTTTACAATGTTTTGAATTTGTTTTGGGGGTGTACTAGAACATGCTCTCATGCTTGGTGGTTCGAAAAACGCATTCTTTTTTACATAATTTACATTATTACAATACCTTTCTCCCCATCCTGGCACAAACGGCTCGATTAGTTCTGGGTTTGATGAAGGCCCGCCTTCCTTGCACGCACGGATATTGCAAGACATATTACAGTGGTAACGTTATTCGTTTTTGGCTAAATCACGTTTTAGATAGGATGTCAACAACCGCTAAAAACAACTGCATCTACTATGTACAGATAAGTGCATATGTATTATTTTTATTGTTATTTAATTCTAACATTATAACATGAATTGCAGTGAAACTGTTATACAGTTGAATTTATTTATACCATAGTCCAGTGTTTCCCAGGCGGCATATATATGCAGCGCATTGGCCCTCCAGGGCAAGATTTGAGGAACCCTGCCATAGACTGTAAAAACCATAGTATATGTGGGCATATAGATGCAAACTCATTCTCTGCCAGCAGGAGGCGCTGTTGGAGTGGTAGAGATCAAGGTTTCCCCGGTAATGGCTGTACACAAAGCAGCGCTCAGCTCTAAAAAAACACTGCTTCATCAGACATTACATGCAAGATTAAATGAAAATGACATCCAATTTTCTGAAGACAGTCGGTTTCCTTCAGAAATACAGTGATATAAAAACACCCGCACTCAATGTATGGGAAACACTGTAGTCTCATAATTGAAGTGTAAATTCTGCAGATTACATCATTGTCCAGTATTGTACTGTCAGCAATTTATTATAAAAACGTTTTCATAATTGTAACATACATATTTACATACATAATTATTCAGGTGCATGTGTAATCACTTAAGAAAACTTGAGGCTACAGCAGCACTTCTTCTTCGTCGCCTTGTCTGATGCACTCAACCAAGTGTTCTAACCACAACCTCGCCCCTCCCCACCCCCCAACCATTCGAATTTCCGTAGGCGGGAATTATTTTAATGATATTCTAATGGGCCGCTTTGTGCCAGGTAAAAAAACGCTGTAGTCCAAACGAGCTGTTTGTTGTAGTTCTTGAAAAGGGATTTTTTTTAAACTAAATGTCTCCCTTTGGAGTGGACTTTGAGATTTGTAAGTTTGAAGATCTTTTTTATGCCCAAACATACACACTACACACTGACTAAAATTCAAAAAATGAAAAAGCATAATAGGACCCCTTTAAAAACAAGTTTTGTACTAATTATTTCTGACCTTTTGACGTTGATGAGAATTCAGATTCGGACCAGTATAGTAGGAATCCTGATCATTTGGATTCGTTTGGATTCCTACTGAAATGACTGGATTTCACCCGCAAAAATTCACTGAACAATGGTAAATGGGGCTGCACCTTTTTTCCCCCATGTTTTTTTAGACATACTTTGTGACGGGAAAATGCCCTCCCATGCCCTTGGCCTGTAAGAGGGTCGGCCTTTTTGAGCAGCGCCCCCCGGTGGAGAGAGAAAAGAGCCTCATGCCTGATTGGCTCTCGGTAATAACTGCCTGTAATCTTGCTCTGTTTTTGTTATTTCAGTCCTTCTGTTTTTCATTTGTTGCTCCTAAATGGTAAATATCTGATTTATGTGTAATGTTTAACCTTTCTCTCCTGTAGAAAAACCTGAAGCGCATTTATGAGCTTGTAATAATGTTTAACCAACGATCTGGAAACTCCCAGACTACCATTTCGGCAGAAGAAGCCGCCGAGTCTCCAGGTCCAGCAGCACACTGTAGCTTCTCTCCAGGCATGCGTTACCCTCCCAGCCTTCCTGAGGACCTTGCTCAGACACTTGAATCTTCACCTTTGGGCTCCTGCAAAAAGAAAAAAGACAAGACTGCTAAAGCCGTTAAAACCTCCCCCGTCAACTGAGGAGCTAGAAGTGGTTCTCAACCAGTTACCAACCCTTTTACCAAAAACTATCACTGTTCCAAGTCTGTGACTTTCAGAACCTTTTCATCTCGCACCAGTTCTGAGGCCAGAACCGAATTCATGCTTGTCTGGAAACAGAGCTACGAATGGTCCTTTCAAGTGAGCGATTATAGTATCTAATGTGTCAAACGTGCCTCCGATGGGACGAAACCCAGGTGGAGATGTTGTCACTTTACCGCCTGCTCCAGTTGCACCTGAACTGAGCTCTTCAAGGACTATTCCTGTGAAAAATGCTGTAGAAACACCAATGGGTGTCTCTGGTTCTCCACAGAGAGCTCAAGTTGGTGCAACTCAGGGGGATGTAATCATCATGTCACCTGCTGCTTTGGCACCAGAGCTGAATCCCTGTCCTTCAGGGCATATAACTGTGAATCAAACTGCACAAATAGTCACCTCTAATGCTCTAATTACTCTTCAACCGCCTACGGTTCCCGACACCTTAATATGTCCCACCACCATCATAAAGAAGTCCACAGCCAACATCCCATCGGCTAAAGATAGTCACTACTGTTTTACTCTGCTTAAAGTTATACCAAGGGATTCTGGTGGTCTAGTTCAAATATATCAAAAACCTCTAAATCAGTTTCTTCTCCTTCCTCCAGGCTATGTGTTTGCAAGCAGCAGCCTTGGCCATCAGATAGCTGGACAAGATCAAACCTTAAAAGGTTCATCAGCTCTGAACAGCACAGAGTTGAAACTCAGGAAGCAACAGAGAACTCCAGACATTTTCCACAGCATTGATGGGCCACATGGAGGTCCACTACAGATGACAGCCGTTCATGATGCTCCTTTTGAGGGCTTACAAGAAACCGCTGCAGCAGAGGAAGAACGGAATAATGATGATGGAGGATTGATTGAGAATGAGGTGGAAGAGTGTGGTGAGAAGGACCCCAGAGAGCTGTTTCTCACACTTTCTGAATCCTCTGGGAGCCCGACGCCCAGCATTGAAGGGGAAGATGCTGACATGGAGATGCTTGTGAGCAGGAGAGAGAAACTAGAGGAGCAGAAATCAAACGAAAGGCAAAGCAGCAATAGGCTGACGGGGGTGGAGAAGGACAGGGGTGTTTCAGACATCCTGTTTGTGCCAGAACTTCAGATCAGATCATTTTTAATGCTCATTGAGATATTTAAACTGAATACTAATACTTTACTGTAATACAAAACATTTTCATACTGTAATGCAAAAATACTAATTATATTATTGGTATTTGATATTATTATTAAGTAAATTATTATTAAATAAAATATACAGTATCTCACAGAAGTAAGTACACCCCTCACATTTTTGTAAATATTTTATTATATCTTTTCATGTGACTAAATATTATTTTTTATATATTGTTGCATTTTTTATTTTTATATTAAAAAAAAAAAAAAATTCTGCTCCGCTTTGGATAAAAGCGTCTGCTAAATGACTAAATGTAAATGTAAATATCATTTTGATTATTCTTTTTACTATTTTTTTTTTACTTTTTTATATTTTATATTATTTATTTTATTATAAATTGTTATATTAAGTTTAAGTATTTAAGTATCCTATCTCTAGGAATTACAAAAACAAATAGTAAAATGTCTACATAATAATGTTATAATAAGAAGAATTTGTCATGAAATTATATGCTACAATGCAAAAGCTTACTTTTTTTTTTTAAATAGGCATCTATACAAAATCTCTAATTTTTTCTTTAGGGGGTAAAATATGAGCAGGGCTTGTTTTCATAAGATTCACCCAATAATAGCAGTTCCTGTTCATGCATTCTGTATTTATGAGATGTTAGATTAACCTTGTCATTGTAAACACCAGAAAACGATTGAGAAATTCTCACATCTGGCCACAAAGACGAGAAGTGAAAAGGAAGGAAGTTCAGATGATGGAAAATCAACCTGCAGGTCAGTTCAGTCATTATGAAGGAGTCCAACAAATACATTTATTGTGAATTCAGTGAATTCTGTAGCTGAAACATTAGCTTTAATAGTTATGCAGGCACATTTACAGAAATGTTTATCAATGTGAAATGTCCTTTTGTCCATTTCCCACCATACCTGTACTGTGCAGAGTCCTTTGGTCCTTTATGATGATGCACCTGATGACGATCCTTACAGAGACACTAAAGATGTTGCCTTTGCCCAGGCTTACCTGGAGAAGGCAAGAAATATTTAGATGCGCACAAATATTAATGTTCGTTTTTATGTTGTGACAGGTCCATTTTTTAGTCTGATATTCTGTCTGTCTGTCTGCAGGTCTATGAGGTGCTGCAGATGGTGCCTGGGAAAGTGGACGAGTTCTTGAGTGTTCTCTCAGAGTTTGAGAAAGATCCAGAGAGTCGCACGTCACTAGAGCTGCTGAAGAGACTCAAGCCTGTGCTGAGCGACTGGCCTGAGCTGCTTCGAGATTTTGCTGCCTTCCTGCATCCAGATCAAGCCAGAGAGTGTGGCCTGGTAGAGCACAATTAACAATTCTCTCATATTCATGGCTAAATAAAGCACACAATCATAAGGTTTCATGGTAAAAACGATGCTCTTCCTAATGTGTGGCTTTAGCTGGAAGAGCAGCAGGCGTTTGAGTGCAGTAGACGCTTTCTATGCCAGCTGGAGTGTACTTTTGGAGAGCAGTCTGATCTCTACAGAGAAGTGGTGCACATTCTACAAGGAGGGTCTGTCACAGGATCTTGTTGTCTTCAGAGAGGTATTTGAAAAGGGCACTATCAGACAAGCAGTCCTTCCTTGTTATTCTGGCATTTGAGCATCTCTTCTGTTTTTCTAGCATTAATCTTTTTACTCTTTGTTTGCATGTTTTATTGTGTAGGATGTCAGTTTCCTGCTCCTTTGGCCTGGCTCATTTACTTATTTTTTTCAGATGAAAGCTCAAATAACATTGCTGTTCCGTGATCACACTGATTTGCTGGAGGCATTCTGGGAATTTTTTAAGCAGCTATACCCACAAGTGCAAGATGAGGATCGTGCAGACAATGTGGAAACCAGTCAGGGCTTGGAAGGAAACCATGCATGTCAACCAATCAGAACTGTCTTACCAGATAAAAAAGTTGAGCCTGTCAAAACAGCCAATAAACACAGAAGAAAAAGAGACAAACATGTTCTGGTATCACCTTCTCCTCTTACAGTTGACTTTTCAGTGTCTATAAAGATCTCAAGCAATCTGAATTGTTTGCATACCACATAATTGTAATGGCAGTTTTTTTTCTGACATGTTTTATCACTTTCTCTCAGATGGCAGAAACAAAAAAGAACAAGGCCAAGAAACACAGTGTGGCAGCAGAGTCAAAAATAGAGTTCAACAGTCTTCGTTTAACGCCACGGGAAGCTCAGTCTGTGCCAAGAATATCTCTCGCTCACCAAATGGGAAAAAAGTAGTCCTCTGGACGAGGTTAGAAATGTTGTGCAACATTCGTGTCTGACATTACGCAATACTTACATTTTTTTTATTTCACTGTTGATCATGTAATTTCAGAAATATTTACAGAAATATTAAACAGAGATAGCAAACAGGATACATTTCATGATCATATTCATATTCATGATCTGAAATGAATGCTTCTGTGTTTTGTTTGTGTGATAAAAAAGGGAGGCAGACCGTGTAATACTGACCACCTGTCAGCAGAGAGGAGCCAAGCCGGCCATGTTTCATGCCATTGCAGCTCAGCTTGGCAACAAAACAGCCAACGTGGTTTGCTTTCTTTCACATTCAGAGGCTTTCTCACACAAAGATCACGTCTAGGTCATATTTCACCCTAAAATCTAAATTAGAGAGTAAAATGTACTTGAAATTCATTCCTTAAAATAGACACAATGCGAAATATCATTTATTTCTTATTTTGGGGTGAAATATGTTCTCTTGAGCTCAAACATTTTCCTCAGCATTGTGCAGTAACCTTTCATCTAGTGCAGTGTATGCTGCAGTCCAGTGGTGGACCGTAACGGAGTAGTTTTACTTCGTTACTGTACTTAAGTAAATTTTTCAAGTATCTGTACTTTACTGGAGTAGTTTTATTTTGAGTAACTTTTACTTATGCTTTGGAATGTAGTGAAGTAAAAGATCGTACTTTTTACTTCACTACATTTCATAAAACATATCGTTACTCCTTATAATATATCAC